CCTAGAGGAGCTGGGTCATGGCTCCTCAACCGCCGGGCCGCGGCCCAGTAGTGGGCCCTGTCATCAATTATATAGAGCCGCGATAGGCTCTTCTGGAATTTGTCATTTTCATTTTCTAAACATTTTTCATGAATAAATATTTTGTAGTTAGCTTAATGCATGAACTTTAACAAAACTGGAAAGGTATTTACGAGTAAATTTGTTGGAACTGGGCCCCCGTCTTATAAAGGGGCCGCGGTCTCATAAACGTTGAGAACCACTGGCACTGGTCCCACTGGTCTAGGTTATCAAATATATGTTGGTCGGCCTGAAATGTTAAACATGGCTTCTCATCTGTCAGGTGGGAAAGTTAATGTGGCGCTAGTACAAGAATTGGCCAGGAAAGAATTACTTCAGCTTTTGGGAAAGTGCGACGGTAGTAAGGTATAATAGGTTTAATCATATATCTGTACAATATGATACGGACATAATAATTGGACGAGTTGTCCTGCGAACATAACAGGAGAACTGCGGTTCTCGGGGCGGTGAATGTTAAGATTATGGTCGCTTCTCAGAAGATCGCACTTTCAGTTATAGGAGAAAGTACAAAGAAAAACAGAGATGTATGGCTTTCTAGATCGATACTTGACTGTTTTCTGCACGCTTTAAATATATATAATGATTATATCACTCGTATTGCCAGTCGGGGGGGGGGGCGGAGTCTTAAAATTAAATCACAACTATACTATAAAGACTGACCTAATGTCTCTCTAAAGCAAATTAAGAAATTGTGTTTGTATACCCTGAAACACCAATCCAGTCACTAGCGTTAACCCCATGCATAAACATTTATTGCTCATGGTCATTATAGTACTCACTAAAATTTACCTTTGTTTTCATATTGTAAATTCGAAATATGTTTTTGTTTCTAAGTAATAAATAAATAAATATACAAAGAAATTATGACTAAATTAAATTCGGGGAATGTAGTAACGTAGTTGGTTGAGGCACTATGCTACAAGCTGGAAGGAAATGGGCTCCATTCCTGATGAGGTCATTGGATTATTTTCAGTTTACATAAACCATGCACTGTGGCCCTGGGGTCAACTCATCCTCTAACAGAAATGAGTACAAGGAATCTTCCTGAGGTGTAAAGGGCAGCTGGTGTGTAAGGTTGACAACCTTACTGCCGTCTGTGAGCCAATTGTGTAGAAAGTATGGGAGCCTCGACATCTCACAACTGTATGGGCCTTCATAGCCTGAGGAATAGCATTACCTTTTTCCTTTCATTCATTCATTCATCAATGGCTCTACAGTCACTTGTTGGACTCTGACCTCTTCTTCAGTTTCATAATCTTTTTTATAGTCTGTAGGACTCCTTGAATGAGTGACCGTTTACCTTTTACCTTACCTTAAATTTGGGGAATGCTTGCTGTGACACACTTCAGAATCTTTTATCTTCCCATATGCTATTGAAAGTTGTAATGATTAAAATATACAGAACTAAATTTTCATGTTGTTTTGTATGTTTGTTAAACTGTAAGTCAGGAACATCGATTGGGGGTAATTGAAAACGGCATTGAGGACAACAATTAGACCCAAGAGGGAGGTGTATTTTATGATGAAGTCAGTGTCTTAGATTATGTAGCTTCCAGTGGCAGGGTGAATGGTGAATAATGAATTTAAAAGTATTTGGAAAGAAGGTGGTCATGGCCTAATGAAGGTACTATCCTGACATTTGCCTAGAGTGAATGAGGAAAACCACCAGGATAACTGGTATCATAGCTAAGAAGCAGACTTATCATCCCACAAATACTAGTGTACAGTGTTACCCCCACATCAGCCTGCTCATTGTTAGTCCTCTTACTACTAGACATAATGTGCTGATTTGTTAATTATTATATTCCATTTTGAAGTGAAGTGTGTTATGTTCACCATAATTGATTTTTATTACAGCACCATTCACTGTGCTGCTGAATGTCATGGTCAAGTAGTTACTGCTTCTTTGTATTTGGAAGGTGTTAGATTTGAATCTCAGTCCATTAATTACAATTACTTAAATAACTAACTCTCTGGAACAGAGTCCTTCTTGAGATGCTAATAGCTATAATAATAAATTCCCCACCTTTAATGAAAAATGGTGTTGCATTGCTGTGTTTATGAGCCTGCCACAGTCCCTGTTCTGAGCAAGATGAATCCAGATATTGTAAGCAAGGTTTCTTTAATTTCCTTCACTCCCTTGAAGCAAGAATGTTAAAATAGGCCAAGACTGATTGCTTTCTTTTCCTTTATAATTCATCATTGATACACTCATCCTGCCATTTGACTGCATAACAGGGCAGTTGAAAAAGCTTTGGAAGTGAATAATGAGTCATTTATACCTTCTGCCCAATTCTAGGAACCTTGTGAAGTAGGGTGGCTTAATTTTCATTTCATGCATCCTGTTGTGCTATAATATACAACTTCTTGATTACAACTGGCTCTGCAAAACTAGGCACTGATCTTGATATTAGTTGTGTTGTGACGGTTGTAATAAAGAAGTTGTAGGGTGGCTTACTTTAAAAATGATGCTACAAAGGAATATGTTTGTGAATAAACTGAAATAGGTCAAGTTGTTTCATTGTATTACCTTTAAGATAAATATGGGGGCTTTATTGTGTTTGTTATTTCAGGCAATGGTATGGGATGAATCACTGGCAGGACCAGTGGGTCTTGTTGCAAAATATGATCTGTTACGGGAGAATGAAGTACTGAAAATGTTCCCATTAAGAGCTGGCCACCTCCCACCTTCTCCTGTAAAGAATATCATATTCATAACAAGACCACAGTTACATCTGATGGACTTGGTTGCTGACAACATATATGGGTATGTATAAACACTACTACTTTCTTTCTTTCATATATTTCTATTTTCTGGAATATAATAATGGGTAGTCCATCAAAAGTCAACCTACATTTTGGAGGAACACATCAACTCCCATCTTCAGGGTTGAAGAATAATCCATGCAACAAACCGGCATAAAGCAGGTAGTAGGCTTGCTACTTTCAACAGGCAGTGTTGTATTATATTCCAGAAGATAGAATTCTTCATGATGACTTGTTTTGAGGACCTCAGAACCTTGTTTCCTTTACATTTGCAGGAAGACATGATTGAAAGACTATCGAGGAACTTGAATTTCAGAAATTTAAATCTCAGCCATTCCAGCAATCCTGCAGCCTACTGCAATTGACTAGTGATTATTGCTACTACATTCCAAAATATATTTTTTGCAGATTGATTACATCTAACTGATTAGCTTACTTTTTGTAGCTAAGCCCTTGAGAAGCTGACATGTGCTTAACCGGTTAAGTAATTCTTCACCTTGTATGGAACCTGGAGGTTAATAACTGACGTCAGAAGAACCTGCTACTGAGTCCTATCCAGAGCCAGCTGAATCCACTCCACACACTCAGACCCTGTTTCAAAGATCCATTGTAATATTATCCTCCTGTTTATGCTTAGGTCTCTCAAATAGTTTTGTATGCATTTCTCATCTCTGACTGGGTTCGTCATGAATGTAATCTCATAAGAACTTCTTTATTGTAGGGAAGAACGATCAGGTGGGTGCAGGAAGGAATTCCATTTATTCTTTGTTCCACGGAAGAGTCTGCTATGCGAAAAGTGGCTAAAGGTATGTCATCATCCCACATTACACCTTCGGGTTGGTTAGCTCTCCGTGGATCAGAAATTCCCTGAACACTTCCTGCAGTATGAATTGTAATGTTTTCCCCTGTTAAACCTCTTCTCACTTACTCTCTGTCTGTCTCTCTCTCGCTTTCCCTGAAGGTTGTAATGTCCTGAAATGATTTTGAGTGCCTCTTGATGGGGTGTTGCATTGGATATTGGTTTTAGTGACTATTTACAGGTCATAACTACAAATAAGTATAACACTGTCGCTAACTTCCACACTTTACAGAGCACTAGAGCACACACTAAGTCTTTTCTAGCCCACTGTCTTCATTAGAAGTTGCCTGGTAATAGCTTGAACAATGGCTATTCCTCTTTGTCCATGCTCAAGTCCTCTCTGAATGGCAGTTCCCCTCCAACTGAACTAAGCTTTAACTTTGTCCCACTTCTAACTCCTCAGCTTGGACCACCATAGAAAACACCATTTCAAACAGTACCTCTGTTGTTGTGTGTTGATTCATTTCTGTGGAGACGTGTTTGTTTGGAACCATTACCCAGCAGTGGCTGTGGTATATTTGCCTATCATGGTTGCTGCCAAATAATGACTCTACATGCTGCAGTATTTCCTTAATCTGGAAACTTGGTATGAATGTGAAACCACTAAGATAAGATCCATTTGATAAAATATTCATTTTATTCACTTTTTATGGATAGTTTGTGGATATCAAAAATATAACATGGTTACTTCCCCAGCCATCTCTGTCAGTTCACTGTTCATTATTGTCCTTAAATTTACCGCCATCATAAATTCCACAGCGGAAATGTGGAGCATAGGGTACAAGTGTAATCCAGTCTTTCCCAATCTGAGTAACGAGTTTTAAAGTATACTGAATTGTGTTTACATTTCACATATGGGAAGACATCTTGCATAGCATTTGAAGTTTAAGAAGTAACACTGCAGTTGAATATTATTGTCCCTTCTTTACAGAATCGGGGTGTGTATGGAAACTTTGCTTTAATTGAGGAATTTGCCTGTGATCTCTTTCCTTTTGATAGTGACCTGATGTCAATGGAGTTGGAATCAGCTTTCAAAGTAAGGAACCCTGTTCATAATCTGCTTTGTGTATATATATATGTATGTGATGTTTAAAAGAAATCTGGGGTTTGTATGTGTTTCTAGGTGGGATATCGGATTTTAACAGTTAAAAGAAAATACATGGTTGTCCTGTAGTTTGTCCGAGATTTAGAACATGTAGTGAGAAAGTACAGGCCACAGTGTGTTGCCACAATGTGCTCTTCACAAGGGTATTGCCATTTCACAGCAGCATTTAAACATTACATTAATGCAGAAAACACTACATATCTGTTTACTGTCTTCTGTAGTGTACTGGATTGATCATAAGCATTAAAGGATTGCACACTGTTGTAACTGTGAGGAAGTTCTGTTCAATGAACAGAATTCTGATAATGTAAGAAGGAAGGACAGGCAGTCTGATAAAGAATGCCTTATTCATTAATATTTATATACAGCATACACTGAAAAAGTATTTCCTCTTCACACAGCAATGAAGATATCCACATCTGATATAGCTTTGATCTGCATGCATATCCTAGCAAATGAGCAATAGTTCGTAATGAAAGTGCCAGAGAACAATATTCAGTCATGGCGTCATTGCCGCTAGAAAGACCACAATATGTGTAAATTGTATAAAGTTCACCCCCATACCCACTCTCCATCGCACTTTCATTAAAAAGACATCAGTATCATTACTGAATCATATAAACTTGTGCTGATGTTAATGAACTGAAATGACAGTTTTCTGTTAGGCTGAAATGACATACATAAGAAGCCGTGGGTTTGTAAGTGGTTAGTATATGAAACATGTCACAGCTGTTAGCGTCTTCAGTTAGCAAACTATCACAGAATGTGATTCACTTATGCATATCAATTTGTCTCACTTTTTTCTTGTTAGTCCTCAAATATCAGTAACTCTGTCGAAAGATGCCTTCTCTGTAGTTATAAAGCATTGTAGGTGATAGGTTGGAAGGGTGTGGAAGCAAACATTTGTTATCTGTCATAAGATCCTTGAAGGACTAGAAAACTAAAAGAAATCCTAATCAGGTCTGGCAGCCTTTGGGCCAAGAATTCAATCCAGGACCTGCCAGATCTGAAGCAGCAATGCTAACCACTCTACTGCAATTTTTAGTGGTACTTATACAATTACTGAATCTTCTTTTTAACTGCTTCCTGTTTTTCTGGAAGGGGTACATGGTAGCATAGTTGGTTAAGGCACTATGCTACAAGCTGGAAGGTTGCGGGTTTGAGTCCTGATGAGGTGGATTTTTCAATGGACCTAATCCTTCCAGCCACACTATGGCCCTAAGGTTGACTCAGCCTCTAACAGAAATGAGTACCAGGATTCTTTCTTGGGGGTAAAGGGTGGCTGGTGTGTAAGGCTGACAACCTTATCACCATCTGTGAGCCAATTGTATAGATAATGTAGAATCCTCAACATCTCACAACCCTATGGGCCTCACTGGCCTCTTACAGGAATAGCTTTGCCTTTTACTTTTTTCTGGGAGTGTGGATGATGGATTAGTAAGTTAAAAGTTTGCAGAATGTGAAATAGCAAAATACTTGTGCTTTGTATGTTGTAAGTAGTGGTCCTGTCTGTAAATTTGTATATTACATTTTTAATCAACTCTAAAAATATTGTGATCATTTTAGGACCTTAAAGGCGGCAAGAGAGGTTTTTTTTTCCTTGGCACTACAGTCCCAATGGGTCTAGGCCTACCTCCATGAACTTAAGAGAGGTTTTAGCCCTGCTGAAATAAGCAGAATGATCAGTAACATTCTTCTGCAAGTTGCTTACCTGTCTCATATTTCATTTGGTAATTACAGAATTAATAGTCAGATGTGTTAAATTTCAACAGAGTATATTGATTCTTCATTGTGTGCCTATTTACTCCAGGAATATTATTTGGAGAATGATCCGACATGCTTATACCAAGCAGCTCAAGCAATCATGACCTTGCAAAGTCTGTTTGGTGTTATCCCTCGAGTATCAGGCAAGGGACCAGCAGCCAAACAAGTATGGGATTTGATGTGTCGCATGGCCCGTGCAAAACAAGATACTGAGAGACCTGGGCTCATACCCCAATCCCAAATAGATCACCTGTTGCTCGTGGACCGAGGAGTAGATCTACTCTCTCCTCTTGCTACACAGCTCACATATGAGGGGCTCATCGATGAGATTTTTGAGATCAATAATAGTGAGTAAATGACACACATAAGTTATTTGGTTTAAGTTGGTAATTAAAGCATGCTATCAGACATTTTTATATAAGACTGATCTGCTGTGAATTACATAAAATACTGATTTTTGTGTTCTCGTATATGTAAGTTGTTTAATTTTTGTTATGCAATTTTTTTTTGTGAATAAGGGTGATTCACTTGAAGGAAATTCTGAATTAATGATTATAAATCACACAGTAATTTACCAATGAAAACAAATCTTGACAAGTATGTGCCTTGGTACATGTAGAGACAATTTTTTGATGGTGATGCAGTGCAGAAACAGTTCCTGAAAGCCACCTGATCTTGCTTGAATGGTCCCATAACCCATACAAGAGAAATATTCTGCTCAACCATATACATTACTTTGCCTCACAGTGTGTGGAATCACAAGCTCAAGGAAAGGGCATGAACTTGGTAATCAAGCTGGCTAAGTTTTGGGTGTATTGGTAAATTACTGCATGATTTGTAGTTATTAATTTGGAGCGTCCTCTCAAGGGATCACACTGGAGACATCTTAAATGATTAGATTCACATTCCCTAAAGTAACTCTCAGTTTTTCAACCAACTACTGCAGTTCACCTCCATATAGAATATTTAAATAATGCTGTGAAATATATTTTTCATAAGTACATTCAATATTTTTATTCCATAAGAATGCAAGTTATGTTTTAATTACAGTAGAACTTGGTTATAACGTCATAAAAGGGACCTAAAAATAGTGTCGTTATAAACGAATGTCGTTGTAACCGAAATGGGCACTTCCACAGTAGCCTTATGTTAGTCACGTAAAAATCTACCAAAAACCGAGTTAAAATGTTGCATTTTTTAGTGAAATACGTAGTTAAGTACAGACTAACGTAACATTAACGTGGAATTGCCCAAATGTGTAATATCAAAGACATATTACAGCGCTTTTCACTGACAATACACACCGCACTAATACTGTATATTAAAGGTAGGCCTACTCACCAAATTACAGTAGATTACATCAATTGTTGTGCCTTACTGTACCTAGATACGAGTACAGTAATCAGTTATCTTCATCTGTTTCCTGTTACTTGCGCAATACACACTTTCTAAATTACGTTCAATGTCCATATCAGAGAAATTCAGGAATGAAAATGACGTTACATACGAGGTTGATGCATTTGTGCATGTCGTACTAAGCAAGGTATAAAAACAGTTGCTTTATGAGGAATTAGTTCATACCATTGAATATTTGACGCAATAGACAAGGTGTCACAGAAACCGATGTTGCTATAACCAAGTTTTACTGTATATGTAACTTTCATCACATACAGGGAAGTTCTTATCTTTGTTGACTGGTTCATGGCACTGTGCTTCACAGCTACCAGTGCACCAACAGATGCGAAGCAGATATGAATTTTGCTGATGATTCAATATGCCTGCTGGCTCATAACAAATGGAATGAAGTAGTTACAATTCACAGATCACACAAGGTGTTGAAAGTGTCGTCTCTCTACATACAGACATTCCTCGTGCTGGTAGAATAGGTTTTGATTTACCCTTTGAAGCTGCTCTGCAGGAATATATTCAATTTTCCTACAAATATTTTCCTTTAGTTCTTCCATTTGGGTGTTACTGTTGTAAACTTCGTCCTTCATACAACCCAAGAAGAAAACCATGAGGATTAAGATCAAGTGAACTTGCAGGACAAATACCGCTGGTGACAAACTGACAGGCTGTAAAAACCAACTATAAAAATGAACCCTGCTAGTTGGATCATGGAGCTGAAAGACGTCACAATATCATAAGATGTTTCACTGTATTGTCTTCTTATTGAATGAAGCACTTACTAAAATAAAAATTAATATTAAATTTGAGAATTGGAAGTTAAAAGTTGAAGGTTAAAATGAATTAATAAAAATATGATTGAAGTTGAAGTAAAATTCTGTCATCAGGGGTATAAAACCATGTAATTCATTGAAAGCCAACTGATGTTTTAGAGGAACATGCTGCTTCTGTTTTCAGGGTCATAGAATAAGCTAAGCCAAATGAGAATTCAGTGACCTCCATTGAGGCATGTTCTGAGCCCCGTGGGCGGTCTGAAACCATAGTTTTCGAGACTGTAGTTATTACAGTTGACAGGGGTGTCATTAAAGTAACTATGAAACATGCGTAAATTGTTACCAGCTTGAACCACTAAGTAACGTTCAGAGTCAGAAGTCAACAGTGCACATATTGCTTGCACACCATTGCTGCTCCGGTAGATTTCAGGTGCAGTTATGTTGTCTCTAGCCCTTGTTTATAGGGCATGATGTTCACAGTTGGTGACAGTCTTCCCTGATCCTGTTGTAAGACTTTAAATGTGTCTGGCCCAGCATACACAGAACTTACTGTTCACTTCCTTTTAAAGTTTGACACTATTATATGCTGAGATCTGAAAATAATAAAATTTAACTAACCGAACAGATTGTACCTTCTATGCTGTCTGTGCACCTTCCAAATGTGCATGCAAAATGAATTTCTCCCAGTGCCTTCTTTACATACAGGGTGTCCCAGGAAGAATGGACCAAACTTCGGGAGGGTGTTCCTTATGTTAAAGTATGCCGATATAACCCAAAACACCTATGTCCAAAGTTGAACGGTTACGGAGATAATGGCCAGAGAAGTGTCAAACTTTGACCGGCGTTGCACACTTGTTGATTACAAAATACATATTAAAACTGGCAGGACTATCTGGATTCTGTAATGTTAATAATGTACGTAACATCAAACTAACTTGTGAGTGACATGAAGCCATAAAATTGAAGTACAAAATACTCGCTCGCCATGTCATAATTGTCCTTAGGGTTTCCA